ACGATCCCTAATTTTTTTCAAAAAAGTTTATAGCAAATGTCACTCGGGAATAGTGTAGCTTCCAAATAGTGAAAGAATTTTTCAAATCGATTATGTAGTTTCGGAGCCTATTCAATACAAACAAACAAACAAATCTTTCCTCTTTATAATATTAGTATAGAAGTATAGATTAGTATAGATTACCAATAAGATCATCACGTACATATATTAAGATAAGATGAATTAACACAGAAACCGGTCTACGTAGTTTAATGATTATGGGAATTCGCGGGTCAGTTAACGAGGAACGAGTTAACTATCTGAATTTTCAAACACCGTCCTAAAGCATTTAACGCTATGATTCTATTGAAAACAGAATATTTGATTTCGCAACCGGTTTGTTTAGACGCTCTATAGTTGTAGCTCTGTTACTAAACGTTCATCATTTACGTTCAGTATAGCCACAATATATGTGGAAAGGCCTGCCGATATCATTGAGTAGGATAAGGACAATATGAATTGAATTTTTTACTGGCGGTAGGACCTCTTGTGAGTCCGTGCGTTTCGGTTTGAAGGATAGGGCAGCCATTGTAACTATATTGAAATCTTAGAACTTATATCTATTTATATAGATGTCTATGGACTCCAGTAACCACTTAAGACCAGGTGGGCTGTGAGTCCGTCCACACATCTAAACAATAAAATAAGAATCTTAACGAATCTTATGCTGCCATCAAATTCCTTTATAAGCGTTTTTTAGAGAGTTCAATACGTAGGAGAATTTCCCACCGAGCTGCTGCTAATATTGTTCGTTAGACCCGCGGTCCGAATACTATTGTTCGGAACTTGTTTTTTTTATTGCTTTGATGGGTGGACGAGCTCTCAGCCCACCTAGTATTAAGTGGTTACAGGAGCCCATAGACATCTAAAACGTAAATGCGCCACCCAGCTTGAGATATAAGCTCTAAGGTCTCAAGTATAGTTACAACGGCGTCCGCACCCTTCAAACCGAAACGCATTACTGCTTCACGGCAGAATTAGGCAGGGTGGTGGTACCTACCCGTGCGGACTCACAAGAGGTCCTACTACCAGTATAAAAGTTTTATATTATTTATACTTATCTTTTAAATGTCATTTACGCAATTCAGGTTGTTACCACGTCTTTTCTATTCTATGATAGCTAGCGCTACACATTATTTTCAGGCAGATAATATTAAATTTCAAGTTGAAACCGAAATTTTGCGCTGCAAACGAAATAACTCTGTTTTCTGGTCCAGTGCCAAATTATATTTGAACACATATTTACAGTTATCTTTTGTAAATTGTATAATTGAACTATAGTATCATTAGAAGCATTATTTATTTTCATGCATTAGGTACTATTGTTTTCTATATGTGTAATTCTGTAGGTACGTCAGTTTGTTTTTGAGTAGAATTTCTCAAAACGGCTGGACTGATTTTCGTAAATATTTTTGTCTGCTAAAGTGGGACCTTAGATTGTTTGTTTAGATTTTAATTAGACCCATGTGTGGCGGACCGGCTAGATGAAATCTAAAATATTATATACGAGCAAATACTTTTTTCTATTGTACTCTTTGGGTAGACGGGCTTTCAGCATCCCTAGGGTTAAGCAGTTTTTTTTTCTTTTTTCCTACCAATGCTGATAGCCTTGAGAGGCTATTTCAGCTTCACCCTAACATGTAGATGAGCTCACGGGGCTCTAACCGGAGTATTGCTAACACTGGCCCTAGCAAGAGCATTGCTTCGCAGAATCTACCACCGGATCGGAAACGCGACCCACTGAGAAGCAGTCATACCGTGTTTTATTCATTGCTGATCGGAAGGTTTTCTGATCGTGGGGAGTATTATAAATTTGCCAAGCCCCAAGTCCATATTAAGGCGATTTCACTTTTTAGGAAAGCTCCGATCACGATCCGCCTGATGTAAAATTTTCAATTTACTATTCATTCCCATTCTCAAGAAATATTGGTTATAGAAATAAAACCTCGAGTGGTTTAATTGTTTTAATTTGAAGTAGAGCAAAGTCGTTTCGTAGGATAGGAATAAGTATATTTTTTAGGTAACGAGGAAGTCACCTAGTCATTTTAGACTTTGGGATCGATAGCCTGTCGGAGTTAAAACGACTAAAACCCCCGTGGCGTTCAACAACCCGCATTCGAGTGTATTAGATAAGATCGACCTCATCCAAGACAGACTGGGGGCATAGTGACGAGTTCCGCGAGGAGTGCATGTTGACGGAGAGATCCTTTTAGGCCCCGTTCGCATATTTTATTTTACACCGGACTCAGTATTTTAAATTACTGCTGGTAACTTTAACAATTATTGGTCTAATTTAGAAGCCGGAACGCTAGGTTGATCTATAAAACGGTTGCAGAAGCCCACAGACAACAGAGAAATGACGCTGTTCTTGATTTTGACATGACAATGTTTCATGACTTAAATCCACGCATGGTACCACCGGAACACCAGCTCACTGCAAGCTTAATCATAACTTACTCGTAAAGACGCTAATACTTATTGCCGTTACATTTTTAGCATTGAAAAGATAAGTTTGCCTTCGACTAAGGGATTGTTATTTTACTTACTTAAGTGGGTGAAATACCTCACGGTTCAGTTGCGGAGCAGTTGCCGGAGCCCATGGACATCAAAAAGTGAATGCCGTCACCCACCTTGAAAGAATAAACAATTTTTTTCCACAAAAAGTTTTTATAAGGTTTTTTTCCTCAATACGTTTATTGCCCCTTCCCGTATTAATAAACCGAAAAGGTTTACTGACAGCGCTGAAAACGCTGACAGCGTATGCTGGTCGCACGTAAGAGGTATCAATGTCAGTAACTCTTCATCAGTAAGTCTTCAGAAGTCGTCACGTAAAATGTTCCGCATGATGAACGGTTCACGGTTCGGAATTACTGATACGGAAAGCTAATAAAAAATTTGATCAATGCAGCCAAGTTTAATTCTATCTACGATTTAGTACATTTTGTATCTCGTCGTCTACGTACGGCCGTCTGGTGTAGTGGTAAGTGACATGGTCACTACACAAGGGGGTCGCGGGTTCGAATCCCGCCAAGGAAAGATATTTGTATGATAAATATAAAATGTATTTTCCAGGGTTATGGATGTACATATATTATATATATGTATGTGTAAAATAAAAATGTTATATTTATATCCGTTATCTGGTACCTGTAACACAAGTTCTTTACGAACTTAGCACGGGACCAGTTAACGTGGCGTGATTGTTAGTAAATATATATTGTTTATTATTATTATTAAATCCGTGATCATAAAGTGTATGCGCTGCTGACTGTGGCGTACACAACTTGAGATTTAGATAAGAAGAAATCACTGATAGTCAAAGAATATGCGTTTATTATATACTTGGCTAACAAGTAACTAATTCTATCTATGTATGTGGTGAGTACCGCTGTATATGAGTGCTGGACGTGTACTGGCGATTTATATGTACTACGGTTTGAGTAAAGCGATGTAAAAGTGCTGATGTGAATGGGCGCGTGCCCTGTACAATACATGACTAGTACATAAAGACTAAAGTGTCGGAAAATTTAAAAGGCAATAAAAAAAACTCGTTATGTTTATATTTTTTTAATTTGGGTAAAGAAAAAAGAATAGACAACAATTGAACGTGTCAATCTTGAGAAATATTCACTAAAGTTTGTTAAATATTGTAATTAAATTAATATTAAGACCATTGTTTAAACATATTAAATAATTAATCGAATGAAATAATAATTGTGCATGTAAAATTTAAGTATTTTGTCAGAACAAAGACTTTAATAAAAATATATTTTATCTGGTCCAATAGTAGTATCAATGTGCCTTCATTATCATTAAACTGGTATAAGATTGAGCACGAAACCGACATGCCTTGAATTGTTCTAACTATCAATGTATGTCTACACAACTTGCCAACTGGTTTAATTATATTACTATCACTAACAGAAGTTTTTAGGCATTAAGTCTACGCTGGCTTCTGGTTCTAAAGCGGAATCTTTGAGGTAATTATAATAGTCAGACATATGCTGTCGCGACACTTTTTCTAAATAATAATGTTTTCTGCAAAGTCCGTAGTACATTATTTTATTCTATCATCTCTAGTTTTCCCAGGGCACGCGATGTAAAGAATATTTTAGGTAATTTTTTTACACCTTAGATTACATAATTGGACTTTTAGTAAGGATCCCTAATGTTTTTCAAAAAAGATTATAGCCTATGTCACTCGGGAATAGAGTAGCTTCCAAACAGTGATAGAATTTTTCCAATCGATTCAGTAGTTTCGGAGCCTATTCAATACAAACAAACAAATCTTTCCTCTTTATAATATTAATATAGAGTATAGATAATGCAATTTAATATATTGATTGCATCAGCCCTGGAAATATGCAAATTTCGCTTTGTTCAATAATATAATCGTAGTAGAACAGAAGCTTTAGCTCTTTATTTTATTACTTACTCGGATAAATGACCTTGATTGAACTTATGATCCATAGTTAACACACCCACGGTGCTACTCGCCTTGAGACATGAGATCCAAGCTTCAATTGTATAGATTAACGGTGGTCCCACTATTCAAACTGGGTGGGACACATTATTGCTTTGCGGCAATTTTAAAGTCGTCGTGGCCTCAAGGATAAGAGGTCGGGTGAATACTGCAGGCGGGTACCTCTTGTGACCTCTTGCGAGTTCGCACGGGCAGATACCACCACCCTGCCTATTTCTGTCGTGAAGCAGTAATGCGTTTCGGTTTGAAGGGTTAGGCAACCGTTGTAACTGTACTGAGACCTTAGAACTCATATCTCGAGGTGGCTGGCGGCATTTACGTTGTAGATATCTATGGGCTCCGGTAACCACTTAACACCAGGTGGGCTAAATAAAATAAAAACCTGCTCATGCTGGCTCACAAGACTCGCCCTACCTCCAGTCAAATGTTATTGTCTTGTTTTCTATTGTTAGTTTAATATCCGTGTTATTGTCCACAGTGCGAAGCTACGACAAACATGACAAGTGCGGCCTAGTGTGGATACCGCGCGTGGTCGCCTACCGCTGTCGGACGTGCGGTATATCGCCCTGCATGTCCATTTGCAGAGAATGCTTCCACCGAGGCGATCACTCCACGCACGACTTCAACATGTTCTTATCCCAGGCCGGTGGCGCCTGCGACTGTGGTGATAAGTCCGTCATGAAGGAAGACGGGTGAGTTTCTTAATATGTATTTTATTATTGATATGAAAACGTTAAGAAAGAACCACTGGTGAGGTGGGTACATTTATTGAAAATATAATAAGAACAGTGCGTTTCCAGAGGTCTTTTTTGCAACGTACCATCCAGCTATGGAATGAGCTCCCCTCCACGGTGTTTCCCGAGCGCTATGACATGACCTTCTTCAAAAGAGGCTTGTGGAGAGTATTAATCTGTAGGCTGCGGCTCAGCTTTGCCCCTGGCGTTGCTGAAGTCCATGGGCGACGGTAACAACTCACCATCAGCTGGGCCGTATGCTCGTCTGCCTATAAGGGCAATTAAAAAAAAATTAAAAATAAAAACTAGATAATGAACTTTTTTTTTGATAAATTGTGTTTTTTAGAAATTATATTTAAATACAAATCACATATTGATAAAATGATGAAATATGAATCGTAGGTAGATCGATTTATAGCCCCCGAAATTCCCTGTATATGAAAATAGTTGAAAATGTAGAAAATAATTTTATGAAAATAGTCGGAGCCGTTTCCGGGATTCAGATTATATATACGAGCCGTTTCCGGGATTCAGATTATATATACAAGAATTGCTCGTTTAAAGATATTTTTAAGAATTAAAGAATGCTTAGTACAATTACACATCGAATTACGAGCATCGTTTCTATATATCGGACGCTGTATACTAAAATTTTACAAGACAAAATCTATTCAGCGGCTAGCTAAATTAACAGGTCTTGTCTGAGTCAAACATTGGCCTGGGATTGAGCGAGGGCGTGATGACGTCACCGCGACCTACCAATCTCGGTTCGGTACATACAGCAAACAGGAACCGGAGTCCTACGCAACTAATAAATATGTATCTGCGAATTGTTATTGCTGGCCCCCGCATAAGGAATTTATTTATATCCATTTTGTTCAATAGAAATATTTATAAATCGACTAGCTGACCCGGCAGACTTCGTATTGCCTCAATTGATAAATAAAAGACCTAAACTATTGTATAAAATAAACTTAAAATAAACAAAAATAATCCCTCTGACGGAAGACACATCAAAGGAAAAACAAAATTGTTATTTTTATTGAATTCCGAGAATTTTCATATTTATCTACCTTTTAAACCTTCTCTGGACTTCCACAAATAATTCAAGACCAAAATTAGCCAAATTGGTCCAGCCGTTCTCGAGTTTTAGCTAGACTAACGAACAGCAATTAAATTTTATATATATAGAAGATAGAAGAAGAATATAGAAGATAACAGAAAAAAATACGTTGCTTAATTTTAACCAATAGGAAGGGGGAATTACTTTTACTAGCAATAACCATTGTTTCTTTTTTAAATACATTACTGAACTTCTCACTGATAACAATTCTCCTTGCGATGATAATTTGTCACTTTTCAGTTGTAACCGTAAGATTGCTTGCTCGTGCAGCTTACAATCATCCACCAAAAAAAAAGCCGGTCACCGTTCTCGTCGAACCCGTCGCCTGCGACGAAGAGTTCGACGAGTAAATTAACCTACAGACACAGCCCACTGAGCTTCTCGCCGGATCACCTCAGTGGGTCGCGTTTCCGATCCGGTGGTAGATTCTGCGAAGCACCGCTCTAGCTAGGGTTAGTGTAGCAACGTCGTCAAGTTAGAGCCCCGTGAGCTCACCTACTCGCTCTGTGAATTTAGTATTGCCCCTGGAGGCTACTAGAATAGGTAGGAAAAAACAAGAAAATCAGAAAATATTTATGTTGAAAAATTCGATTAACAACATTTTTAAAGTTCCTTAAAAAGTTATCAGAACGTAAATGACAGAGCTCTGTCAAATTACGAACAGCTTTTTATTGCCGTTGTAGACAGACAAGCGTACAGTTCATCTGATATTAAATACTCGCCTTCCCAAATGGATATCAGAAATACCAAAGGCTGAGGATTCTTCTCAAACTCCATATTCAAAACCTTTTGCATAATAACAATATAATATGTATCAATAAGTTGAACACGGTATTACTGGTGGTAGGACCTGTTGTGAGTCCGCGCGGGTAAGTACCACCACCCCGCCTATTTCTGCCGTGAAGCAGTAATGCGTTTCGGTTTGAAGGGTGGGGCAGCCGTTGTAACTATACTGAGACCTTACAACTTATATCTCAAGGTGGGTGGCGCATTTACGTTGTAGATGTCTATGGGCTCCAGTAACCACTTAACACCAGGTGGGCTGTGAGCTCGTCCACCCATCTAAGCAATAAAAAAAAACACGGCTCACATAGTTTTTATCAACATTTCTGTAGTCGAGTCAGAAAAATATATGTGATACCTACTACTTGTGAGTTGATCACTAGAATTGGTCGATAAACTAATAAGAATGTAAGTTAAAATATTTTAAACTAGTTTGGAAGGAATCACGCGCCGTTAAATGTGACCAGACGCCGTCTTATTGATCGATACAAATATAACAGGGGGCTATTAAACGTACAACGATCAATATTCATGGTCTAATTTAAAACTAGCTCGTGGCTCGGTCGTGGACTGCGTGCCTCTCGGGGTCGCTGTTCAGATACAGAATCGTCCCTGCTGTTCTGGCCTCTGATTTATAAATGGCAAAACCGTTCATATTTCCGTTTCAACCAAAGCGATCATGATATCTCCGTGTTGAGTATAGGACTAGGGAATTGAAATCTAACTTTTTGCTTATACAGACACGGCCTTTACTTCTAATGAAAATGCTGAATTCTGAACCGTAAAGTTTTTTTTTTATTGTTTAGATGGGCGGACGAGCTCACAGCCCACCCGGTGTTAAGTGGTCACTGGAGCCGATAGACATCTACGACGTTAATGCGCCACCCACCTTGAGATATAAGTTCTAATGTCTCAAGTATAGTTACAACGGCTGCACCACCCTTCAAACCGAAACGCATTACTGCTTCACGGCAGCAATAGGCGGGGCCGTGGTACCTACCCGTGCGGACTCACAAGAGGTCCTACCACCAGTAAGTTCCTCACTGTCGTCGAAAGTTCAAATCAAAAAAAATTTTTTTTTTTCATTAATAAGTAATAGTTTTCTCGTGCTAAAATAATTACTGATTCTGTCAACTAGCTCCATAGACTGTGTCCGCTAATAGTTGTCATTATTATAATAACCTTATTCTGTCGCATTGCAGAGTACTCCATCCTCTTTGGGTATGTGTTTTCAAATACCAGTCCCATCTTTATATGTATCGAAAACGTCTCACAACATTTTGGTCCTCTGCGTCTTCGACTTGACAGTAGGATCATTAAGTCCAGTCTCTTTGGTATACTATATACATATAACAACTAACCCAGTTTCGTTCACAATTTCTGACAGTCTTATTTAAGTCGTCGTGGCCTAAAAGATAAGACGTTAAGTGCATTCGTATCTCGCGATGCAACGGTGTTCGAATCCCGCAAGCAAGTATTATTTCTTCTAATGAATCCGTACGTAACAAATGTTCACGATTGACTTCCACGATGAAGGAAAAACATCGTTTAATAAAAATCAAACCCGCAAAATTATAATTTGCGTAATTACTGGTAGTAGGATGGCTTGTGGTTCCGCACGGGTAGGTACCACCACCCCACCTATTTCGGCCGTGAAGCAGTAATGCGTTTCGGTTTGAAGGGTGCGGCAGCCGTTGTACTGTAAAAACTGAGATCTTAGAACTATGATCTCAAGGCAGGGGGCGGCATTAACATAGTAGATGTCTATGGACTCCGGCAACCCCTTAACGTCAGGTTGGCCGTGAATTCGTTAAATCAATTAAGCAATAAAAAAAATTAAAATTAAATTGGAAATGGGATATCTCAAGTTTCGCTGCGTTGATTTCCGATACAAAAACAAAAATGTCTGCTTAATTTAAAAATAGAGATACGATCATTATAATTAATGAATATTACTTCACGTCTATATTGAGGTAAAGCGACGAAAATATTTTTAGTCGAAGCGTGACTTATCTCCCTAAAATTGTGATGCGCATGACGTAACCGTGTGACGTAACGCTTCGTGCTATACCCAAGGTCGGAAGGTCTGGGTCGAGTCGCCGAGGGACACGATCTCTGAAGGTCGTTCACCGTTTCTCTCTATCTTGAGCAATCTCAAATAGCACCATCTCGTTTCCGCGTCTCTTTGTTTTTATTCGAATTTGTGGTTTTTTTTTTTTTTGTTGTAAAATTTAGAACCAATAGGACGTCGTTGACATTTTTACTTTAGCTTATTTTGTATATTGCATAGCTGGATGAACTAGCTCGTCTAGTGTTAAGTTGATTACTAGATCCCATAAAATGCTACCGTTTATCCGTTAAAGAAATCAATGAGAAGCATATTTGATATTTGTTTTTTCACACAAAAATGTGATTTAATTGTGCCTTTCTGTTGGAATGGTTTTTGTAGATTATATTTAACTAACGACCCGCCCTCGCTTCGCTTCGGAAACTGTAATTTACTATTGATTTCTCCACTATTTAATGGATGTTATTATACATATAAACCATCCTCTTCAATCACTCTATCTATTAAAAAAAACCGCATCAAAATCCGTTGGGTAGTTTTAAAGATTTAAGCATACATAGGGATATAGGGACAGAGAAGGCAACTTTGTTTTATACTATGTAGTGATGAATTAAGACTTCAATCTTATGCGTCTCGAGGGGGATAATGCGATCGAAGTTGTGATTGTAATCTGTCTATGGTAGTTCCTGAACGACAGTTGGACCGCGAAGTCGTCTGCCAACGTCTTAACGTCACGTAGTTAACACAAAGACTCCGTTCAAGCGAAATTGAAACAACATTGATATAAGTTTTCCTTGTAAGGTCATTGTATGCATTAAAGATTTGTTTTATGGTTAACGAGTTACATATGCATTATTGAATAAGACTCAATTTAAAAAAATTAAGTCTTTTTTTTATATTGCTTAGATGGGTGGACGAGCTCACAGCCCACCTGATGTTAAGTGGCTACTGGAGCCCATAGACATCTACAACGTAAATGCGCCACCCACCTTGAGATATAAGTTCTAAGGTCTCAGTATAGTTACAACGGCTGCCCCACCCTTCAAACCGAAACGTATTACTGCTTCACGGCAGAAATAAGCAAGGCGGTGGTACCTACCCGTCCAGACTCATAAGAGGTCCTACCACCAGTAAGAGTAATCTAAAGTAATCTAGCATTGTTGTTGCTTCAGTCAGACAAGCGAGCTCTGGTCCCGATTGGTTACAAGGAGGTACTGGAACCTGGAACCGATAGACGCCTTAAAGACGAACACCGCCACCCACAGAATTATATCGTTTTTCCGGCTTAAACCGGAACGTGCAACTGAAATACGCAGTTCGCCGGCATCAAAATTCACTTGCTGCTTTGAAATTCAAATTTATCACACATTAAATAGACTCGAACAGACTGCATGTCTCTAAACACCGCATTGCACCGAACACATACACAAATACAATAGCAATAAGTACTGAACTTGACCTGAATGACTAAGTAGGTACTTGTCGCTTTGAATACTGAACGAACGCGGTCTTAATACAGGTATTGATTATGTATGCACTCTATTCGTTAAAAAGTTCTATTAATTTTCTTCTTCTTCTCAATCGTGTCACTCTTGACAGAGTGGTCGTGATCGTCATGTAGTGTTGGAAGGGGCAGACTTGATACGTTTCACGATGTCGCGCCATCTCTCCCTGCTCGAGGCCATTCTACTGCACTCATTTAGGGGACCTCCCACTGCAGTTTTAATTTGGTCGGTCCACCGCATTGGTGGCCTCCCGCGCGGTCTTGTACCATCAACGCTTCCCTGTACAACGAGGCGTTCTATGGACCAGCCATCTCGTCGCGAAACGTGTCCGAAGAAATCCACCATTCGAGACTGTACTATAGCAAATAGACGTTGCTTTTTTTATTTCAAATTCAAATTCAAATTCAAAATCATTTATTTCAACTTAGATGTCAGTATGACACACTTGTTGAATGTCAAAATACAAATAACAATGTTAACTCTACCACCGGTTCCAAAAAAAGCCACAGTCCTGAGAAGAACCGGCGAAACAAACTCAGCGGGCTTTTTTTTTTGTTTTATCTCAAATATTTTCTTTTTTTTAAATAAATAGAAATATTCACAATAAAAGAAAAAACAAGTCAAAAAAATAAAATTAAAAATAATAATAATAATAATGAAAAATGAAAAGGCCAGGAGCGAGCGCCTCATTCCCACGTAGTNAAACCGAAACGCATTACTGCTTCACGGCAGAAATAGGCAGGGTGGTGGTACCCACCCGCGCGGACTCACAAGAGGTCCTACCACCAGTAATTACGCAAATTATAATTTTGCGGGTTTCATTTTTATTACACGATGTTATTCCTTCACCGTGGAAGTCAATCGTGAACATTTGTTGAGTACGTATTTCATTAGAAAAATTAGTACCCGCCTGCGGGATTCGAACACCGGTGCATCGCTTTAACACGAATGCACCGGACGTCTTATCCGTTAAGCCACGACGACTTCAAAAACGGCTTGATGCCGAGTTCCTGAAGTATCGAGACATTTGTACGAAAGTCGGTCCACGAAACTCCAAGCATTCTTCTCCAAAACCACATTTTCAGAGTGTCTATTTTCTTCCTTTCCACGTCTATTAATTAATATTATACTATATGTGGCTAGTTTGAAAACTAAAACAACATACTTAAATTAAAAACAAGACAACAAAAACGAAGTGTTTTTTTCTTTCCTGTGATACTGGTCATGATATTAGAGCGAAGTACTAAAATTACTAGCTGTTATACGCGACTTCGCTCGTGTTGTCAACGAAAAGTATCAGTGCAGTTTCCCGTGGCAATGAATCTTTTTTTCGGAATAAAAGATGTCTCTCTAATGACCTAATACTACTATCACTTTAAAAAAAAACATGTCAATCTGTTGCTTACTTTCAACGTGAAAGAAGGACAAACAAACACACTTTCACATTTATAATATTAAGTAACGGTAGGCAGCGGCTTGACTCTGCCCCTGGCATTGCTGAAGTCCATGGGCGACGGTAACCCCTCACCATCAGGTCGGCCGTACGCTCGTCTGCCTACTGGGGCTTCTTCTTTTTCTTTCTTTCCCACTACCCTCTGCTGGGATATAGGGTTCTAATCAAATTCTTCAATTCGCATCGGTCTTGTGCAGTCTGTTCTAGCTCCTACCAAGTTTTTATTTTTATTTTTTTTATTGCTTAGATGGCTGGACGAGCTCATAGTCTATCTGGTGTTAAGTCGATACTGGAGCCCATAGACATCTACAACGTCAAAGCGCCACCCACCTTGAGATATAAGTTCTAAGATCTCAGTATAGTTACAACGGCTGTCCCCACCGTTCAAACCGAAACGCATTACTGCTTCACGGCAGAAATAGGCAGGGTGGTGGTACCTTCCAAGTCATGCCCAAGACATCGCTCGTCTGCCTACAAGAGCAATGAATAAAAATTTATTGTCTTCGATCCTTGATTCGTGTGCAACATTTGAAATTAATCTTCCTTGAAGTCTGAAAATGGCGTGCAAAGATTCCGTTACATACTGGTACATACTGAGCTAAAAGAAGTATGTTCATATGTCACATTATTGTTACAGATTCTGCAGTAACCACGGTAATAAATGTCCTCGGCCCGGCACCGTTCCCGCGGAACTGATGTGTGTTGCTGAAGCGATGATGCCGCGGCTCATACTACGGCTGCTCCAGCACTTCAGGGAGAACAGGTCGGTTTTACTTCGTAGCTTACTGGCATCGCCTGAATAACGTTACGCACCATAACTTACTACTTTTGAGGAAAGAAAGAGACACTGGTGGTAGGACCTCTTATGAGTCCGCACGGGAAGGTACCACCGCCCCACCCATTTCTGCCGTGAAGCAGTAATTCGTTTCGGCTGAAGGGTGGGGCAGCCGTTGTAACTATGCTGAGACCTTAGAACTTATATCTCAAGGTGGGTGGCGCATTTACATTGTATATGTCTATGGGCTCCAGTAACCACTTAACACCAGGAGGGCTGTGAGCTCGTCCACCCATCTAAGCAATAAATAAAAAAAGACTCATGTGCATTATAAAAGTAAGGAGGTTCTAGAATGGTATAGAAGTTCACATGAAGCTCCATAAATGGATTAAGTTCGTGTATAAAAAGCAATACGTATGGTTCTCGTTCGGTTTGGCGAACCTCAAATAAAGTACTAGCCCAAAGGAACTAAAATAAGCACAAATAACATGTCTTAGTAAAATAATTTGACTATATATTTTTTATTTAACTGACTAGACCGCCGAGTTAGTTTCGCCGGTTCTTTGGAGGACTGTGCATGTTTTTTGGAACCGGTAGTAGAGATAACACGTTTTTTGGCATTTATTTATGTTTTAATGTAATTGACACAAAAGATTTGAACTGGAATTTGTGAACCCTCAATATAAGATCACAGCCGTCGCCCGCGTTCCCTAGAGGCCGTTAACCCGGCGCGTCAGTTTATTTTCAATTGTCTTACATTGCGTGCGATATTAGAACGTTCGTGAAACATAAATTTTAGCTTATCACTTCGATGGACGAGGTGGGAATGTATAACTATCAGTACTATTGTAGGTAGAGAATATTTTAAAGCCGGGATGCGTTAGCAGCAGAAATGGGTAGGACGGTAGTTAGTACCCTCGTCTACATCCTACCATTAGTGGTCGCATAATAAAGTATATACTAATCATAATTCTTCTGCCCTTCTCCCAGTCACCTGGGGTTGGCCCAACATGTTTTTTCCTTCCATACTCCTCTATCATATACCATTTCTTCGCTCACTCCCCTCTTACACATATCGTCTTTCACGCAATCCATCCATTTCTTCTTAGGTTTACCTCTTCCTCTATATCCTTTTGCTTTCATAGTTAACACTCTCTTACCAACCTCATTTTCATTTCGTCTCCCATACCATCTCAAGGTATATACTCATGTGAGCTGATAATGATGACGACAATATACTTCATATTAGTGGTTCTACATAATCTACTCTTGTGAATCTTCAAGTTCAGTGAACCTTTTATTTCTCGTGTAGCAAAAGGTTTCTGTTTTATATCTTATTACACTCTATTTTAGACCGCATAATAATATGCAAGATTCCAATCTCGTCTAAAATGAAAAGTGGATAAGTTGTGAAATCGTAATTTTTATTATTTGAATTTTGACGAATACGTTCTATCTAACCAGTTCTTGAGATTATAAATACAAGTCAAATAACTTAAAGTACAATAAATATTCGAGCTGTTTGTTACGAGTAAGGATGAGCCTTTATTCAGTGAGATGGGCACGCGCGTTGCTGCGGCCGGAAATATGAATAAGTTATAACCGAACGAACCGAACGTTTGAAGCGTTCACGTCCTATTTATGATAACTTTTTTAATGCTTTGACGGCATTCAAGTGAACTTCGATAGCCACTTAATAATTGTTTAATTTTTTTTTGCTTAATAGTGTGGACGAGCTCACAGCCCACCTGGTGTTATGTGGTTACTGGAGCCCATAGACATCTACAACGTAAATGCCGCCACCCACCTTGAGATATTAGTTCTAAGGTCTCAGTGTTATTACAACGGCTGCCCCACCCTTCAAACCGAAACGCATTTCTGCTTCACGGCAGAAATAGGCAGAGTGGTGGTACCTACCCGTGCGGATCCCAAGAGATCCTACTACCAGTAATTACGCAAATTATAATACCAAGTAAACCGTGATATCTTCTGCTAGACTATAGCTACAAAATGAAGTATATTGTTACGCGCTAGGGCTCGGAATAAATAAAAATTCTACCGAAGTACAGATAAAAGTTCTATTTAACACTCAGAGAACACTTTACAATTCGTAATTCACTTCAATCATTAACACTAGGAGTCAATCATTAAGAGTTCTTCGGTGTTAGTGTAGTGTGTGCAGTGCCGGATTAACCATATGTGACCGGAAGTAGCCAATGCTATGGTCCAGCTCCTGCTAAGCCCAAAACAACAAAAAATCCTCATATCTGATATCTATTTTCATATCTATAGTGACCATACTATAATTGTATCATCATCATTCATTCTCCCGCCCTTCTCCCAGTCACTACACATCGTCTTTCACGCAATCCATCCATTTCTTCTTAGGGTTACCTCTTCCTCTATATACTACCACATTCATAGTTAACACTCTCTTATCAACCTCATTTTCAATTAGTCTCATCACATGTCCATACCATCTCAAGGTATGTACTCATGTGAAGTGATAATGATGATGACAATATACTTCATATGAGTGGTTCTACATAATCGACTCTTGTGAATCTTCAAGTTCAGTGAACCTTTTATTTCTCATGTACCAAAACGTTCTGTTTTATGTCGTATTACACTCTTCTTCTCTGTCACAAGTGCCACTTTCAGACTTTCAGACTATCCTTTCTCGTTACTCCACACATCCATCGCAACATTCGCATTTCTGCTGCATGTGATGCGATGCGATTGCCATACTGTAATTGTATATTCTTACTATTATAATCAATATTACTCAGCTTAAATCAGCTCCATGCTGACCACGGGTAGGTTCTAGCCCACCAATACTCGGAATGCAATTTAAGGGCCTACTATTGACATTTGGTACGGGCTCGCGACCCTTTTATCCGGTCCTGGTGTACTTACAGTTGAGATTGTCTGCTCGATATGCTTCAGTAATCGCGTAATAGCAAATTTGGTGTTAATCGGACTCGATGTCTAAACGCTTTTAAATAGTTCTGTTAAAAAGCTCCCTGTCGTTTGCATAGAAGCAAAGAGTTCTGATTCCAAAGAAATCCGATATTAGTAATAAGAAAAGTCTTTTGTTTTATGTTGTCTGCGATACGTTCTCGTAAATTAAAGCGGCCCACGCATTCGATTATTTCGGACCGTGTAATTCGCGGGCGTGAATATACAAGTTGCGGGATGTCACCTGAATCTTGCGCATGAAACTGTTTGTATGAATCAATATCGGCGCCAGCTGTCGTCTTTTTAACTGCCGGTTCACGAAAAGCACGGTTTTTATTACATTTTCTAATTGCACTAAACCAGTGGTCGGCAACATACGGCTCTTTGACTCCTCGGCTACGGCTCTTCCGTGAAATGTTTAGTCCAAGCACGGAATAATACTTACTAGATATCTTGCCTCTTTTTTAATTTTTAACATATTGCGTAGATAGGTGGACGAACTCACAGCCCAACTGGTGTTAAGTGGTTACCGGAGCCCATAGACATCTATAACGTAAATCTCGTCATCCGCCTTGAGATATGAGTTCTAAGGTCTCGGTATAGTTAGAACGGATGCGCCACCCTTCAAACCGAAACGTATTACTGCTCCACAGCTAAAATAGGCAGGGTGGTTGGTACTTACCCGCGCGGACACGTGGAGGTCCTACCACCAGTAAAACTGGTACGGGACAAGTAAACATTTTTGAAACAAATAAAAAGTCTCTTTGAATAAATTTCACTTGTGTGCTATCCCTATTTGGCTGTTTTGGTTGGCAAGGTTGCCGACCACTGCACTAGACGAATGCACAAACTCACTGCCCACCTTGTGCTTAACTATTACTGGTGTCTATAGACAACCCACAACGTATACCAGCTGGTGGTGCTTGCCCTCAAAATGCGTCTTCAAACCAGTAAAAGCCAGATGACGATCTCCAGTGTACTTGTGTAACAATGAAAATACTCTGTTGCATATTTTTTTTGTTGCTTAGATGGGTGGACGAGCTCACAGCCCACCTGGTGTTAAGTGGTTACTGGAGCCCATAGACATCTACGACGTAAAAGCGCCACCCACCTTGAGATAAGGTCTAAGGTCTCAAGTATGGTTACAACGGCTGCCCCACCCTTCAAACCGAAACGCATTACTGCTTCACGGCAGAAATAGGCAGGGCGGTGGTACCCACCCGCGCGGACTCACAAGAGGTCCTACCACCAGTAATAATTTATAGTATTCTTTTGGGAACCTCTAGTTGTCTTCAACATCCATGGCAACTTATCTTCCCCATCAGGACAGGATCAAATCTCGCTTTTTAGAAGACCAGTCTGTTATTCTTTTCGAATAATTTCATCGGGAAAATTTATCGACTCTTTAAAATCTCAATCTCTCTGTATCTACTCTGGCTTCTGTCGTTCCTTTAAATTTATCTACTTGTTCTTTTACAGCAGTGGAAGCCAAACCAATTCAGACCGGTGTCGTATTGCGGTTCAAGAGTGCGAGGGCTACGTTCAGATGTTGATGGAGTTCAATAACATGGGTGACCTCATGCGTTCGGCCATGACTAAGGCGCTTATTAACCCACAGGTAAGAAAACCTTTACTTTTACAGCTTTATGAGTGAAGTGCTTTTGGAATTCAATTAACAGGTCATGCAGAAGAGGTAAAGTGTTAATTTAACGGCGTCGATGGCTACTCCATGTCATTTTGGATCCTCCCGATCCACTAACGGTGCTATTAGGTACTTCAAGCACCGGTCACCGTTCTCGTCGAACCCGTTGCTTGCGACGAAGGGCCTCGACGAGTGAATTAACCCACAGACAGCCCACTGAATTTCTCGCCGGATCTTCTCAGTGGGTCGCGTTTCCGATCCGGTGGTAGATTCTGCGAAGCACTACTCTTGTTAGGGTTAGTGCTAGTTAGCAGCGTCGCCAGGCTAGAGTCGCGTGAGCTCACCTACTCGTTCTGTGAATCTAGTATAACCCCCCGAGGTTACCAGAATAAACAGGAAAAAAAAACAAAAAGACGCCATCGTAATTAATAAATACGTAGAATTAATACCACTGCGTAGAATTAATAATCATTGTGTTGTCACATTGCTTGATAATGTCCACACACTCAACAAACGTTACTACTTCGATAATTTGGAAATGAGTCCCATGGAGATCAGGCTACTTGATCGGGATACTTGGCCATCGACGCCTCACCCTTTAAATAATCAATTTAAAATTTAGTATAATGAATTAAGTAAATATTTTGGTATTTTTCGTTAGATGTACAGGAATCTTGTGGTTCCACCATTCCCGGACACGGAGTACGGGGCGTACATGGCGGAGTCACACCACATGTACGAGAGGGCGTTAGATCTGTTCCCAGCACCGGAGCCGCCTGACGAGTGAGTGTACTCATGAATAAACATACCATTGACCATTCTCAACACTTACCTTATATATTATGNTAAATATTTTGGTATTTTTCGTTAGATGTACAGGAATCTTGTGGTTCCACCATTCCCGGACACGGAGTACGGGGCGTACATGGCGGAGTCACACCACATGTACGAGAGGGCGTTAGATCTGTTCCCAGCACCGGAGCCGCCTGACGAGTGAGTGTACTCATGAATAAACATACCATTGACCATTCTCAACACTTACCTTATATATTATGTGTATAAAATTCCTTTTTATTGCTTAGATAGGTTGACGAGCTCACAGCCCACCTGGTATGAATTGATTACCGGAGTCCATAGACATCTACAACGTAAATGCCGCCACCCACCTCGAGACACGAGTTCTAAGGTCTCACTTTTAATAGTACAACAGCTGCCCCGCCCTTCAAACCGAAACGCATTACTGCTTTACGGCAGAAATAGGCAGGGTGGTGGTACCCGTGTGGACTCACAAGACATCCTACCACCAGTAATTACGCAAATTATAATTTTGTGGGTTTGATTTTATTATACCATGTTTTTCCTTCACCGTGAGGGTCAATCGTGAACATTTCTTAGGTACGTATTTCATTTGTCAAAATTGGTACCCGTCTGCGGGATTCGAACACCGGTGAATCGTTAGATAAAAATGCATCGGGCGTCATATCCTTTAGGCCACGATGACTTTATGTGACATGTCACCTTTGCGCGGTATTAAATGTCTACTTCCTACTACTTTTCAACGAGACTTCCACAATATATTTTGAACGGTTTCTAATTAAATTTTCTTTTAATTGTATTGTTAATTCACCCTGCAGTTGAGATTGGACCTCATGTCTCAAGACGAGCGTCCATATTATAACATCGGTGAGCTCCGGTAACTGATTAGCCCGGACGGGGTGAGAGCTCGTTCGATCTAGGCGGGTAGCAAGTAGTAGGGGTAAATCTAGGCGGGTAGTAAAATATATTGTGTAATTGTAGGTACTGCCACCTGCCGGCGCTCGCGCCTCGACTGACGCACAACACGCTGTTGGAAGAATTCATATTCTGGACTTTCAAATACGAGTTTCCGCAGAACGTGGTCTGCTTCTTGCTGAATATGTTGCCCGACCAGGACTACAAGGTATAGTGGGACGCGCCAGGCCAACCGCAAGCCACACGCAGGCCAACCGCAGGCCAAACGCAGGCCAAACGCAGGCCAAGCGCAGGCCACACGCAGGCCACTCGCAGGCCAAGCTCTCTAGTCGGGACTATGCCAGCGTGAGAACGACAAATGGGCTATAAAACTATAGGGAACTTGCGAAGGGCGAGCCTACGAATTAATATTAATAATTGTGATATTCAACAATACAGTTCACATTATTTCGGGACTACAGTTCACAATACTCGTACAGTTCACATTATTTCGGGAAGGAAACAATTTTAATAAGTCGAGTTTGTCAGGATGCAAGCCTTAGTCTCTGGTGTTGACAGGTTTGACAATGATATGGATAATAAGTATTTGTTTGTGAGGGGCGACCCGCCCGCGCGGTAGAATACGATCCTCATTATAATCATTAATGTTCTAAGTATGCCATTTTGGGACTCTTTTTTCTTTATTTAACAGATATTGAGCTTATGAAACCGAAGCGCACTATAGCTTTACAGCAGAAATGGCCAAGTGCTGGTGCCACCGATGGTACCCGCCGTGCTGGCGACGTTATGCAACCTGTGGATTTTAGTTGCACAACGAAACGCTTTATTTATAGTGCTTTATTTATATATCTTACTAATCCTTTTGAGTTTAAGCTAATGTTTTGAATACAGTCGATTGGGTACATTATTTTCTAAGCATTATTTAAAAGAAACGTATTTTTAGCAAAAAGTATCAAGATCGGTTTTAACATTATATGAAAATTGAAATTGTCGTAGGAGCACCTGACGCGCACGTTTGTGCTGCACTACGGGCGCATCCCGCTGGTGCTGGAGGCGGCCGCCGACCCCGACACGCTGTCCAACCGCGTCGTGCACATGTCCGTGCAGCTGTTCTCCAACGAGGCGCTGGCGCTGCGCTGCGTGCAGCACCTGCACCTGCTGCACGTCATGGTGCTCTCGCTGCGCCTCATGATGGCCAAGATCCTCGTGCAGAACACGCTGCACGACCCCCGCCGCAACTACCACCGCGTCATCGACTGCACGCAGAAGGTCATGAAGGAGCACTGCTACTGGCCACTCGTGTCCGACTTCAACAACGTGCTGTCGCACAAGAGCGTCGCGCTGCTGTTCCTGCAGGACGACGCGCTCATCGACATGTGGTTCGAGTTCCTGTCCATGCTGCAAGGTAAGGCGCGGGCGAGGCGAGGGCGGGGTGGGGGTGGGGTGGGGTCCGGGAGCCGCCACTGAGCGCGCGTGTGTCGCAGGCATGAACGTGAACGTGCGCGAGACCGGCGGGCACATCGAGTTCGAGCCGTCGTCGTACTACGCGGCGTTCTCGTGCGAGCTGGAGGCGGCCGCGTACCCCATGTGGTCCGTGCTGTCGCACCTGACGGCGCCCGAGCACGCCCCGCTGGCGCGCCGCATGCTGGGCGCGGCGCTGGGCAGCCTGCGCGCGTGGCTGGGCGCCGTGCAGTGCACCGAGCTGCGCCCCGAGCGCGACGCCGCCATGCGCGCCTCCTTCCACTTCCCGCTGCACCGCTACCTCGCCGCCTTCCTGTGCGCCGCCGTGCGCTGGATGGGCGTGCGCGCCGCCGACGTGCTGCCGCCCGCGCCGCTGCTCGCGCTGCTGGCCGCGCACCCGCTGCGCGTGCAGGTCAGTGCCGACACTCATACGGTCCAGANGTGCACCGAGCTGCGCCCCGAGCGCGACGCCGCCATGCGCGCCTCCTTCCACTTCCCGCTGCACCGCTACCTCGCCGCCTTCCTGTGCGCCGCCGTGCGCTGGATGGGCGTGCGCGCCGCCGACGTGCTGCCGCCCGCGCCGCTGCTCGCGCTGCTGGCCGCGCACCCGCTGCGCGTGCAGGTCAGTGCCGACACTCATATGGTCCAGGTTGAAGGATGACATACTTGTAATATAATACAATATACACTTTGACCTCACGTCTGGTCGAGGTGGATGGTGGCATTTTTACTATTAATGTGTACGGGCTCCGGTGACCAGTTTGCACCGAAAGGACCAGTAGCTCGTTCTCTCGTCCGAACGAGAATAAAACAATCTAAAATAATTATCGAATATGATTTTCGTTATTATTTATTTTCATCTTTATCGACTACATAGAATACAACTCCGTATAACTTAATGAAAACAGGTGTGAAGAAATAAAAGATGAGATCCTAGAAACGCATACATTTACAACCACATCGAAACTTTAAACTATACATGAGGTATTAAATCTACTAATGACGTCACACTGTTACTTATAATCTCGCAACACGTCGAATCTCCTTAAAAGCTAAGCGAGTCAGTTGACCGTAGGCTCGAAGTCCGGGCCGTCGGCCGGGTCGGGCCCGCGCGGCAGGTCGGCCGGCGGCTCGGCGCGCACGTGCCGCGCGTGCGGGTACGTGCGCAGCCGCAGCGCCACGAACCCGCCCGAGCCGCGCGCGCCGCGGTGCAGCACGCCCGCGCCGCTCGCCAGCGCGCCCACTGCAACACACGCAACGATCTTCTGCATTATCTAATGCTACCGCTGGGTTAAAGCCTTCGTCAAACAGAACGTGTACTTAGCGCGCGTCAGAACGCTAAACTGACGGCGCGCTATGACGCCGAGATGTGTTGTACTACTATGGTAATAAACTGTTAAATAGAGCGCCAGCGCTAACAGTACGCAGCACTCTGTCGCGGCGTTAGGACATTTTGATGTCAGCCGTTGTAATTTTTTACAAATTTTATTTAGCGTCCGAGTGAATGTGTATTAAAATACTGGTTAATGCCCGAAAAATTGATAGAATTAGTTAAAAAACACCCATGCTTATACAATGCCATTACTGAATCACTCGACATCTTAATACTTTTAAATTTTCACAACGCTATCGAAAGGCACTATGATTTGGCGAATGCGTTGCGTAAAGGAGCGTCGGGCTCATCTAGTCAATTTGTGTGACTTGAAAAGAGCGCGACGTTAAAACGCAGCGCTAAGTACGCGTTCTGCTTGACGAAGCCTTAACAATTTTTAACGACTCGCTCCCCCACTCGTACGATGACGGTGTCGTAAGAGAACAATTTGGTGAAGTGTCGGTGACACCCGCGCCCAATGCAAAGAACAAAAGAGTAGTGACGTACCGCCCGCGGGCAGCACCGGTTGCACGTCAATGAAGGGCACGGTGCTCTGCGCGGCGTCCGCCTCCAGGTCCGAGTTGGTGAACTCTACGTACTGGTCGTGCTCAGAGTCCACCGCGAGCGGCACGGAGCTGCGCGTGGGGATGTCCGGATTCTTCAGTTCCAGTTTTACCCTGGAGATAGACACGTAGTTAGAATTAGGGGTCATATTCTATTGTGTTTGTTGTTCTTGCTATTTTTAGATTATGATCATCTCACTTTAACTAGTTTAACTAACTAGTTCAAATCATTTACGTCAACTTAAATGACATCGATAACATGGGATAAATAAAATTAAGCGCTCTGGCGCGAATATCTCGTCCAACATCGCGCTGCTTGAGGTCGTGTGTCGTTAAATGCTGACCGCCTCCTCCTCCTTGCGTCGTTCTCCTCATTACTGACGGTCGTGACTCCCCAGCTGCATCAAGGCTGACCACCTAGCATTAATATAATATTGGATCCAGCAAATGTAATGGTTCGCCGTTGTCGTCCGCCGCGGTTGTACCTGGGCCTCGCGGAGCCCTCGGTGTTGTCGTTGCTGATCCACTGACTCTTCTCTGGCGAGAGTCGTCCCGTCGTGTAGTTGAATGGCGTCGATCTGATCTCGAAGTGTAGATGTGCGCCCAGCATTCTGAACCTGAAAATATCACGATTAATTACAAACTCGCGTCCAGATTATACTTTTCTCATTCGTATTATTGGGTCGTTGTTACCTGACACCGGTGAGGACGTGTCCGGATGGCGAGTCTAGATCGTCCAAATCGATGGCCCGGTTTTCGTAAGTTAGCGTGTGGTAATCTACGCCGTCTTTGAATTGAGGGTCTAAGGGATCGAACTTCTGCACTGGGACCCAGTCACCTCCTTCGATGAGTCCCCTCTCCTTCAGTGTACTCTCGTACACTTGTAGATGGAATACTCTTCCGTGCTTAATCAATCGCAGCCCTGTCACCACTCTGTTGAAAATTAACAACAAAGCTTAGTTTATCTGTTAATTAAGCAATAAAAAGCAATAAAGAGGACACTAGCGCACCCATGCTGTTAGCACATTTAGAGTTAGAAGTTTAGAAAAATGACTGTATCTGACTTACTAAAAGATTCCAAGAAGCATTGTGTTGCTTATCACCCAAAGCTAATGGAAGATCGGCACTAAAGCTATACCAATTAGAGGTTATGCCCATTATAACGATGTAGGAAGGTAAAAATTATTATTCCCCTGAATACTGACTTGTTCTTGGAAATTTGAGCCAAGGCCTCTCGCATGCTGAAGAATCGTTCAGAGATGTCGACAGCATCCTCACAAAGGCAAAAGCAGTACGAGCAGTGGAACAAATTCCATTTCCACCAGGAGTCGACCTTTGGGCGAAAATATAAATGGAGAAAATGTTTTTCGATGCGAGACGTTCCTATTGCTAACAGCCTGGGCACGGGAGCGTCCTCTGTGACAAGGAACTGACTTGTTGTTGTTGACGTCTGAGGTGGCGTCCCAGAGGCTGAAGTATCTGTCGGAGTCGGTGGCGTCGTCGCACAGGCACATGCAGTACGAGCAGTGCCAGAACAACCAGCGCCACCACGAGTCCACCTACGCAAACTTATCGGTACACCCTTGGCAAGGGAATAACTCGACGCATTCGTACGTGCTGATATCGCTACTTATCTATACTTCTATACTAATATTATAAAGCTGAAGAGCTTGTTTGTTTGAACGCGCTAATCTCAGGAACTACTGGTCCGATTTGTTCCGAAACTTCTTTCGGTGTTAGATGGCCCATTTATTGAGGAAGGCTATAGGTTATATAACATCACGGTAACACCGATACAAGTGGAGCACCAATAAAGAATGTTTCAAAATATTTTTACTTTCTATGTAAATGAAGTGGAGGGTAAAATTTAGCGTTATGCCAAAGTAACTATTCCACGAGGACGGAGTCGCGGGCAAAAGCTAGTTACATAAATATATCGTTTCGATTACATTTTTATTACGCCGCGTCTGCTTTGTGTCTGTGTCATAGTAAATGTTTGATAATATACATAGTTGCCCACTGAGTTTGTCCCCGGAACTTACCAGTGGGTCGTGTGAAGCACTGCTCTTGCTAGGGCTAGTGTTAGCAGATTCTCTCAGGTCGAGCCCGTGAACTCACCTACCCGTCCAGGCGTAGCTGGAATAGCCTAAGGGGCTATTAGCGAATAAATAGGGAACTACATAAGAAGATTATTTTCATAGCTGTATTTCGATTTCCTTGATTAGATTTTGACCTTCAATGTGCATGTAAACAAACTAGAAAAACTTGTTATCACTTTGTTATGATTTTGGGGTCAAGCAGATAACTCTGTAATCGACAGTATTTGTTGATCAATGTTGAACATTGGATGTGGCACCACAATGTCCGTTATGTTTTACCTTGGTGCTGTGACCACCGCTGGTACACTCTCCTTTTTGGCCAAGAGTTCTCCCGTTTTCGTAAGTGACCCAGTCGTATCGGCGCTTGCTATCGCCGCTCTGAAAAATTTAACATTCGTACGTGGTTTATTATATTTCAATATTGTTTCTATTGGGCTGATTCTATTGATTGTTGATTTTGAATATTCTTACCGGGCACACCCACATGTCCGAGTCAATGTACTGACAATTGATGATCCTGCCGCCGCAAGTTTTTTGCTGGGTGCAGAGCTGGTCGTCGTAGCAGCCGTACCTCTGGGTCAGCGTGTAGTAGCCGCAGTTCTCCTGGCACGTCCCCTGCGGGTTCATGTCCACTTCGTTCTCGATGTAGCCTTGCAGTAGACGTGTGACTTGGTCGTACGTTTTACCTGGAATTGTCGAGGAAAATGAACATTAGGATTGGTTTTTAATTATTATAAAGCGTATCTATGAAAATTTGAGTTGGAAAAGTACTAATTGTAAATGCTAGCTTTCAATTATTCCATTAATTCAAGGACTCATATTCCAACCGAGGAATTACTTCAAAACTAAATGGAATTGAGTAATCTCTCACGACTAAGAAATTTCAAAGGGTCTGATTAAAACGAATTTAGGTTGAGTTAATATTATTAGGTTTCGTAGGAGTCAACTCAGATATTTGTTCTTACATGGCGCGAAATGAACTTAAGATTACATTGTTCATGAAAGTAGCGGATACTATTCGTCACAAACTTTATGTCCCACCAAAGGACAGCAATCAACATATTAGGCAATGGATATCCATCCACTATTCCAAAACTCATACCAGTGTGGTTTTGGAGATGAATAGCAGACGATACAAGAGTGACAACAAAAGTATCACTTGACACAGGAGTCTCTGGCATATCTTGGTTCAGTTCTTCAAACAATATTTTGTTAGGATCATCGCAGCCATTGGGAAAAGCCTTTGTATTAAATTTCTTTACTAAGTATTGCGCTTACTAAAACTTCTAATAACTACTAAATTAGTGGCTGGTTTGGTTAGGTCAAGCAGGTTGTTGTGGAAACTGGTTAAATTATACCTTCCTCGTGTTGTATCGGGTCGCATCTGTACAGATCTCGACTGGCCGAGGAGAGGACTCCACGAACGACGTTGGCTGCCTGTGTTGTCCTTTGTCCGTAACGTTCTCTAGTCAGACTCGCCTCTTGTGAGAAGTTTCCTGCGTAGAACTTTGTTATTAGGCCACTTTATCATTATTTTTGTGAATTAATTGGGCTTATCGCGCTCAAGTAATTTATACTTCTATACTATTATTATAAAGTGGAAATATTTGTTTGTATTAAATAGGCTCCGAAACTACTGAACCGATTTGAAAAATTCTTTCACTGTTTGAAAACTACAGTATTCCCGAGTGACATAGGCTATAATCTTTTTTGAAAAAAAATAGGGATCCTCACTAAAATTCCAATAATGTTGGAATTTTAGTTTTAACCCAAGGTGTAAAAAGATGACCTAAAATATTCTTTACATCGCGTGCCCTGCGAAAACTATTGATGATAGAATAAAATAATGTACTACGACTTTGTAGAACACATTATTATTTACACAAAAGTGTCGCGACAGCATATGTCTAACTATTATAGTTATGCCGCAATAAGTGTTCTTTTATTTAAAAAAATAAAACAAGGTCAAATATCGTTGTAATTTTTGTTAAAGACTCAAGCGGAGCCGGAGCGGGCCGCTAGTAAGATATAAATGGAAAATAACTTTAATGGATATTTTAATGTGCTCGTAATCTGGGTCCCGCCGCACAAACACAACCGCCTTATTTCGAGACAGGACGAGTATTCTATTGAACTTTTGTACATTTCTTTATAAAACTATACATGGAACGTATGTTTGTTTGTTCATAATCAATTTGTCTGTCTGTTGGTTTGTTCGATTTACTTGGCACATTTTTAACACGTTTTAATTATATTTATCTATGTAACATAATATTTCACGAGTTATAATTAACCTTGAAAATTTACTCGCGTATTAAGTACCGATGGCACTACAATAATTTTATATTATTTAATCTAATATCGTGACCGGTTAAAAATATTTTTATTCAGTTTTTAGTTGGATTTGCCATTGAAACGTTCACTATTTATGTGAGTTTTATTTTAATTGTAGTTATGTTTGTTGTCATCGCACCAAAAAAAGGTTTTTGACTCAGCACGCAAGCGACTTATATATTAAATACTAACGTTTTAATCATAAATTTAGCGTTAGTCCCAGTGGAGTGTCGCCTGATGGATTTATCTATTTAATTAACAGATAATTAAATTCTCTGAACCATAATTTCATGCAATGAAATCTTTTTTTCTATTGTAAGACGGTCTAATAAGCACTCGGCTCTGGTAACACTAATTGAGTGCTGACCGGAGTCCTAAAGATTACAACGTGAAGCCGCCGCCACCCACCTTGAGACATGAGGTCCTAGTCTCAATTACGTTAAGAGCCGTCCCCACCTTTAAAACTAGAAAGCATGACAGCTTGGCGGCACAAGTGTGATGGTAGTACGCACGCGCACCAGATTGCAGCGTCCCCTTCCATCAATCTGTGGTTTTAAGAGCAGCATTTTTTTTTCCTCTCGATTAAAAGTTAAACTTTAGTAGAAGTAGCACAGTTTATTAGTTACCTTTTCCGTACAATTTGAGCAGCATCCACGAAAACTGCATTATGGCGTATCCCTTTATCTCGGCCAGGGCTATGGTGTTGTAAATGTCGTAAATCAATTGATGCGGGGACATCTGCAACGTGCACACGTCCGTGCCTCCCTCCTGCGAAAACGATTGATTGTTAAATAAATCTATATATATATAAATGAATTGCTGTTCGTTAGTCTCGCTAAAACTCCAGAACGGCTGGACCAATTTGGCTAATTTTGGTCTTGAATTATTTGTGGAAGTCCAGGGAAGGTTTAAAAGGTAGAAAAATATGAAAATTCTCGGAATTAAATTAAAATAACAATTATGTTTTCCCTTTGATGTGCAACCCCCCCCCCCCCCTCGTCGGGCGGATTCCTTTTGTTCGTTTTAAGTTTATTTTTTACAGACGCTTAGGTCTTTTATTTATCGATTGAGGCACTACGACGTCTGCAGAGTCAGCTAGTTCGTACATAAAAATACTAACTTTTGTTATGTTATATCAAAGCTTGAGTTATGTTGGGCTCTAGTTATGATATAAAAACGGAACAAAAACTCTATTAGTATGTTTTAACAGCTTTATTCATGTCAATGCCAATCTGAAAAGTGGTAATTAGGAGCCTCATATGAAATTGAAATAAAATATGGAAGTAGTTACATTAAGAACAAAAAAAAAACGCTTAAATAGTAAACTAAATTCAAAATTAATTCCATCTTTTCTTTATCCCGCTGATACTGGTCAGGATATTAGAACGAAGTTATAAAATCATTGTTTTGTCATCGGTCCTTGACGAGTGTGGAAAATTTCAAGTTTATCGTACATTTAAAGATTCCGTAACAAACAAACAAACAGACATTCGTATATACTATAAAAACGTGTCAAAAATGTTAACATGTTTCAACGGATGGCGTGTTTGCTTCATGGCGGAAGTAACATTTATACCATCCTCTGGGACTGACCCCCCCTAGTCATATCAACCGTATTATCATTGAGAGGCAAAGTAATTGGTGAAATGAGTGTTATATATTCATTTCAATTCAGAACAGTAGAATACAAACTTTGCACGTATTAAAACTAACGACGCTACAATGTGTTGAAAGGGTACCTTTTTTATTTGTTTTCCTACCTATTCTAGTTATTTTAGGGTTGTTTTCGATTCGCCAAACTAGGTTTACGGGCCTCAAACCCGACGACGTTGCTAACACTAACCCTAGCAAGAGCCGTGCTTCGCAGAATCTACCACCGGATCGGAAACGCGACCCAGTGAAAAGATCCGACGAGAAACTCAGTGGGCTGTGTCTGTGGGTTAATTTACTCGCCGAACCCTTCGTTGCAAGCGACGGGTTCGACGAGAACGATGACCGGTGCTTGTGGTACCTCAAAGCACCATTAGTGGATCGGGAGGTTCCGAAATGACGTGCTTAGGGCGACGTCGACTGTTTACCATTCGGTCCGCAGGATCGGGAATGTAGTTACCGGCGGCCACGATGAAAGAGTTCTCGAGTCGTGCCGCTTTATCGAAATGAAAGGGTAGCATGTGTTGTTTGTTGGTCCAGTGTAAGAGAGTATGACTGAGGTGGCTAAATATATAGAGAATAGCACAGCGTAGCTTCAGCTTGAGTCATGTTTGATAGTTGAATTAGTATTGTGTTTATTTCGTAAAATAGATCGCACGTGGCCGGACTTCTTCACATGAAACTCGCATGTCTTTAGACAGTGTTTGTAAATAGAAACACGGTGTATATCTGATATCTGAATCTCACCTAATAAGGAAAAGTTTTTTCTGATCATAATATTTTACGTCCGATTGTTGTGCGAATAATGTAATGTCTCATTGCCGCATCTGGTTAACTTATCATGTTACGGTTTGTAAACAAACAAGCGATTTGTATTACCAGACCTTTTTTTTTTAACTATGCCGTTAGCCTGTTAGTTATATGCCGATAGTCTTGAGAGGCTTTATCGGCGATAGCGTATTGTCGCAAACACTGGCCCTAGCAAGAGCAGTGCTTCGCAAAATTTACCACCGGATCACAAACGCGACCTATTGAGAAGATCCGACGAGAAACTCAGTGGGCATACCAGACGGTGAGCACTCGTGAAGACCCTTTTTTTTGTATGTAGGTTTGAACTTTACAAGGATTAAAATAATAGGGTAAATTACTTTTGCAGTTTCCAACGAATAACTTCTTAGTCTTATTAAAAACGTTGGAAATAATATGATGACTATAAATGTATCTACAGCCATATAAACCTTAGCCACGAGTTAATACGCATCAGATAGATTGAGACCTTTGTGCAACGTGAAATATGTATTTGTGTGACGAGCAAGCAAGGAATGTTCGAGGTAAATTAAAATTAAATACTTTACGAATTACGCTTAACGTGATCACTGCGAAGGTATTTCGTTGACTATTTATTCCTTTGTTTATATATCTTCGTTGTCATGTCATTAATTAGGTTTAATGCCCGTAGTCAAATATTTTCGGATCGTCAAGTAACAATTTGGAATGGTTTTACATTGTTATAATCACGGTTTAATTTTTGCTAGTATTGTTTTATTATTATTTTTTTTCGGCCAATTGGAGTACGTTAATGTTTTCATGAGGTGTGAGACTAATTGATGCAGACGTAGCTTTAATTTGATGTCTCAAGACCCGCGAATACCTAAGTAAATAATACTACATATATCTCCCATTAGACATGATTATCAAACAGTTTAAAAATATTGCGTTAATTGTCCGTACGGGTCGGGGTCGGGGTACATGATTGTAATGTGCACTTTACCCTACAGGCTACAAATAAGTCTGATAGTTTTATTTTATTTTATTTATGACAGTATTGTATGTTTTGTTTAATTTAGTTTATTCCGCCGTATTGTTCCTGTTTTTATTTATTTATTGCTTAGATGTGTGGACGAGCTCACAGCCCACCTGGTGTTAAGTGGTTACTGGAGCCCATAGACATCTACAACGTAAATGCACCACACACCTCGAGATATAAGTTCTAAAGTCTCAGTAGAGCTACAACGGCTTCAAACCGAAACGCATTACTGCTTCACGGCAGAAATAGGCGGTGCGGTGGTACCTACCCGTGCGGATTCACAAGAGGTCCTACCACCGGTAATAATGATGGTAGGTAATGTCGTATGACTCTTGTCAGAGGGGTCGTGGTCGTCATTCGGTATCATTGCTGTGGACAGATGCTATGCGCCTCACGCAAGCACTCGCCACGTCTCCCGGTTTGTGGTGAGCCTGGTACACTCATGCAAATGTTCAGGACTTAACCTAATCTATCTTAAGAAGGAGGGAGCCTGGAGATCAGTAATACAGGTCTTTGAACCTAGTACACACTTCAGCTCTTTCAAAGGCTTACAAAATAAATTTTAAGGTTAATTTCCATTTGTATTTGTACTATACCTTTAAGAGAGAAATAAAATAAATTATTATTATTATTATTAAATAAATAAACAATCCGCCGTATCGCCGTATCGTAAAAGCAACCTTCGCAATTTTTATATAAAACATTATTACGGTCAACGCCCCTCCAAGAACGACACTGTTTGATCTACTTAGTTTGTTTGCAAATACATATCTTTATATTATTACCTAACCTCAATACAATATGTTTTTTGCCAAGGAATTTTGTTTCGAATTGACTTCCGGTTCAGTATTTACCTAGTTGAAATAATTTTAGTATTAATGCTGTGTTAAAAAAATATGTGTTTTTATATACGTTCAAATTGTATATAGTTATATGCTTAGCTGTAAATTTTCTTTAAATTAATTTTACCGTATGAAAATTTGCGCATTACTACAGATAATGATTAAGTTACTAGGGCACGTCAGTTGTGGCTTGCAAACTCGTACTGCACATTACACAACACGGCACTGGTTCTCTGACAGACGACGCGTCGGTCCGCTCACGGCACCGCTTTCCTTTGTTACCTTATGACCGTGTGTACCTGTAGCATGACGAGGCGGTAAGTGACAGCCTCGCCGTGGCTCATCAGCTCGCCCAGTTTCTTCATCGAGTTCGTCACAGATGACTTGGGGTCCATCAGCACCGCTTCTGTGAGGTCCATCCATTCCCGAACTGGCGCCGGAACAGCGCCGGGCCGTGACTGCGTCCTCGCGAATTCGGCAAAGTATTTGTAATGTCCGTCGATGATTTGCATTTTCTCGATAGCGTTCGTCCAAATCCAAGAGTTGAGCGGGGGCCGTCGACTCCTCGGTACGGCCTGAATCAACTCGTCCAGCGCCACGAAAGCCTTTGTTAGCTCGACGTCTCCCCCTAAATCGGATTGTCTCCACATCGGATCCGACACGTTCCTCCACAATTCATCTTCTAAAGCATATAGTTTTTGCCGCAAATCGTCCACTGAACATAGCTCGTCGGCGATCGCTATTGCGAACAGCGCAATGAGCGCTGCGAATCTCATTGCGACACAGTCTGCGGCTGGTGGAACTACGCGATACGAGGGCGGAGGTACTACTGACGGACGCGGAGAGGGGACGGCTTGCACGGCGCGAGCGGGGTCAGCTTAGTGCGGGGACCGTATCGATGTCGTCAGTCGATAGCGATCCTATGTTAATGCGCTTTTGACGTTCAATTTTCGCGACAAAACGCCCGACTAAGGTAATGAACACCGTTTCCGTTATATTTAAAGGAATTTCGATGCGGTGTTTGTCCTCAATTTAACGTGTATTGTCATCGTCATTGCCGCGGCCTCGGTGAAAAGGAAACTCCTTTAACATTAATTAAATTTTAACAAGATTATTGTTAATTGTTTTGTCGATGTAGTTTGAACGAATTATAATATAAAAGGTTTTCCCACTAAAATCATCCGTATTTCCAAATAGTTAAGTACGTATATACATATATAATAATAATAAAAAAACAAATTCAATGTGTGTTTTTGTAGTCAATTAAAAATGTCGTCAAGGCCTTCTTGACCCGAAATTGTCTCAATGTCATTACCTAAAATTCTATCTTCTTTTTGACGTAGTGTGTATTTTTCTATGTTATTCATTTGCAAGTGGAGCCTTACAGAAAAAAGTAATAAATTATTATTGCAGTATCTCCGAAGATATTTACTCTTAGCGACAGGTTTGCAATAAATACTCTAACTTGA